GAAGGTGAGAAGTGGGAATTCAGGAAAGATTCAGAATGAGGCCCCATCAAGTATGGGTTGTAGTTGTTGGATGATACCCTGTTTGGGTTCCAGTGTGGGGTGGTAGGTGACAACTAGGGATATGAGGTCACTGGGGGGTTTATTTCTGTATTGAAGCAGGTTCTCCCATGGTATTTGGGTGGCCAGTTCCAGGATGTGATCTACTTCTACGGTAGAGTGTCCTTGTTTGGTGGAAGGCGATTTTGAGTGTATTACGGTGTGCATCCTGGAGTTTCTCCTCAGAGTATATTCCGTGGAATCTGAGTGCCTGGCTGTACATAGCAGACTTCTTGGTGTGTTTGAGGTGGCTACTGGATCTATGAAGGTAGATGTGGTGATCTGTAGTTTTCTTGTATGTAGTTACCTGTAAGCTTCCATTGTTGAAGCTGATCATGGTGTCCAGGAAGTTGATGCTAGTGTCGGAGTGTTCCAGAGAGAGTTTAATGGAGGAATGGTGGCTGTTGAAGTTATGGTGGAGTTTAAGTCATCTGTCCAGAGACTGACATGGCTACAAGAACACTGCATATAAAAAGCTACAACATAGATTTAACTGCCATATTTATCACCATATTCTTTGTGTTTATCAAATCAATAACTGGTATAAAAATTATCAAACCCTGCATGTGCAGTATTATTTTTGAATAATAAAAGCCTCATACATGTGAAAAATGCATGTCAGATCATGGCCACCAGCTCTGATGGTGCAAACTGGAAGGAGATCTGCCATAAAGGGCAGATTAGGATTCACCCAGTGCAAAGGAGAATCCTGGGATGGTGTAAAGCAGACTTAGCTGTCTCCATGCCACTCATTTACATGCCCTGCCCCAGGTACAGGGGGTGTTTCTGGGTGGTCTGAGAGCATGGTTGAGGTGCAGGAAAGGACAGAACTTGGAGTACAATGCTCTGCTCTAAATTATGCTTTTAGGTTGCTCTAAATTATGCTTGGGGCAGTTTGGCTCAC